CTATCGAGTAATAAGAAATCTTTCAGGACAGAGAATACTCCCAATCCATTGTACCCATTGCTAGAGAATCCTCCACCCAATTCCAATATCCTGTCTCGAACGTCACCCAATCTCTACCGCTAACCTCAGCCTCATAAAGAACCCCATAATCTCCGGCCCAAGCTCCAACCCAACCAGCATCCCACGCCACAGGGTCAGCCCCATAGATACATGTCCATATCAATACCCACCCCATCTCCCCCACCCCATAACCTCTGCTCCAGGTCTCCCTCACAGAATCAGCGGAGAATAGGTAGACTTGCGGAAATGAGAGGAGATATGTGTGGTGGGGTATGGAAGGATAGGACGGACCTCTTTATCATAGTTGATTTATACTGCTGTGTTCGCTGTTTTAATTAGTTTAAATAGTTGTGCTAAGAGGGAGAGCGAGTGCCTTGTTGCAATCTTTTCTACTTACCTCCAGTTGCGTGTTCGGGAGCAGAGTTTCCATAGCTTGACTAAGCATCGCCATCTTACAGTTTAAGGAGCGGTTTGCCATACCTCTTGTTTCGTCGTTCTCGCTGTAGCGGCTTTGTCATAGCCGTTTTGTCGCTTGATTATTGTAGGCCCTATACCATATTATCATTCAGTCATTGTACATTCAGTGGTGTTCATCATAGTCGCGTTTTGGTTGTGGTCTCGCCTGTCTAAAAGCCATCGCTATATGTAAAAGAGGAAACTAATGAACCACCGAACAATGAACAGATCGCAAACAAAGAATCGGAGGGTGGAGGAATAAACTGTGGAGGAACAAGCTGTACGGCGAGCATGCTGAGCAATCCCCATGGTTTTGAACATACTTGACCACGGTACTTAGCAATTGATCGTGTTCGTCCTGTATGTCTCTGATCACCATGACCTTGGCTGACAGCCCCTAAGAATTCTGTAGTGAGGTAAACAACAAGACTGTGAAGGGCTTGATCTCGTTCGCTTTGTCTGTCGCCTGTCTGCATTTCCAATGATCCTGGTCTGGCCGCCAAGGCCCCAACATTGGGAGTGAGGCCACTAACAGGGCTATTGGTTTCCTGGAGATCACCCCAATTATTTGGCCGCCATTGTCCGGCTTCTCACACTATTGATCACTTCCGGGCCTAGTATTTTTACCACTACTTCATATTGAAACAGGGGTAATATAGGGGTAATTCTGACACATTAAGCTGCAGGAGAAGGTGATGAGAGAGAAGGAGGATATGGAGATGCACAAAGAGATTGTTTGCATGCATAGAGGGTGGAAGGGAAGAAACAGCGGGACATGAGCAGGATATAAAAATGGTGAAAACAGAGTAAGAGGTGACGAGCAGTGGGGGGTGGTGTGCAATCCCAGTTTTGTACTAGCAATATAATCCTATTTTTATAACCTGAACATAGGCTACCAGTAGGTGGGCATGTATATATAGGGCTTCCGAATTTTTTAGAATTTTTTATTTACCTCTTGAAAAGTGTAATCGATAATTGTCATTGATCCTGTTTCATGGCTTGGTGGAGAAACAGCTGTTGGAAATGGTAGTGATGAAATTGTAGGTTTTCACTAAGATGAGAGAGAAAAAGTAGTGTTTATTTTTTACAAAAATGAGTATTAAATAGAAGTAAAAGTATCATATAAGCGAAGAGATCAGTATCATACATAGGAAGAAAAATTTCATACTGGTATTAGAAGCTGACGTTCACATGCCTATCAGACAACCTGCTCGTTTTTCTCCTATTGCCCAAGCAACCATTTTCCTGTTTTCTGTTAAAGCCTCTATTTCCTTTCAGACTTTTTTCATCCGTACCTGCCTCCTCTCCTCTTTTACCTCCTAAATAATAATAATCGTTACCGTCCCCCTAAACAGAAAGCATCTCCCTTGTGTTTTCTCATCAAATTTTAACAGAATGAGAGCCATCTGCAAACCTTTCCGTACTTACCAGCACACCTATCTGAAACTAGGCTAAAGCTAACCAGAATAGGGTTTCATTTCCCCACTACCTTTACCACTCAAGTATTGGTTTTCCGGTCCAAGTTTTACTTTAAAATTCCACTCCACCACCTACAAACACCGGGATCACCCCCGCCGGCACCCCACAATCCTCAACCACTTGCCTTTGATCAACTTGAGGCTTTCGTCAGTTGTGAAGTCAAAACACATGATGATCCCTAGCGAGAGAAAATGTTGGCAGTACGAGCAATTGCTACTGCAGCAAAAAATATTCACAAAAGACCTTTCGGTAGTCCATTGAGCCCACAATACATGTATGTTAACACAAGGGGGACTACAATGATACAGTCTATCCATAAGATGAGAAGGGAGTTGGTTGGCATAAAAGAGGTGGTAAAGGAGTCTATGGAGAGAGCAAAGAAGGCGGAAGAGAAGGTGAAGGAGGGAGAATGGAGAATGAAGAAGGTGGAAGAGAAAGCAAAGGGGGCGGAAGAGAAAGTCAAGGAGGGAGAACTGAGAATGAAGGCGGAAGAGAAGGCGAAGGAGGCAGAAAAGATGGCGAAGGAGGGGGAACCGAGACATGCAGAACTTGAAATGAAGCAAGTTGAGACCCAAGAATGGGTAGCAAAAATGCAGCCTTTTCAAGAAACTGCTATCGACAAACGGCGACGCTTTTTTATGCTAGTGATGGGCTAGATCATGATCGAGCAGATGATAGGGGTTCTGCTCGAGCATGATCTGATCGGGGCTACCTCATGATCGAATGATGGATTAAATTGGTAGACCCTGATCGAGCATGCCCACTGATCGAGTATAGTCTATTATGCTCGAGTCTAGCCGGCCACGGTCAACCTTTCTTCACTATCACAGTATGCTAATAGCACGCGGAAAATCCTTACTCTCAACCAATTTAAAACTTGAGTTGGTTTCGACAATCACCACAACGGTCCATATATTTTTTATTCCTTTATACCGAAGAACCGACTAGGTGCCTGAGGACACCCCGCTTCCTGTGTGAGTATGATGGACTCGGTTCTGGTCACTTCTATATTGCGGGTCCGCTGTTTGCCTTTAGTTAACCGACAGGATTTTTATGGTCGCACTCCGGAGGTGATAGCCTTCCACGACGCGTTCGGAAACCGGCAAGAAGTGTAGGTGTTGTGGGATATTTTGAAGCGTACGGGCACCAACTATGACCCCCGGCATGTCGTAGGAGACTATGAGAGCAAAGACATTTTAGGCGAGAGAAGTGGGAGGTAAAGCGTTTTAAAGAATCAATAGTAGAGTGTGTTGTCGAGGATATGTTATCGAGTGTGCGGCGTAGAGAGTGTTTATATAAATTGGTGATATCACATGATTACCAAGATGGATATAGGTATATATGATATATATATAGATAGAGTGATCGATCATGACCAATCATGATCGAGCATGATGGAGCAGTACCCCTGATCGAGCTGTTGGAAACCATGGTTGCATGTACACTAGTTAGCTAATTGCCGCGTCACCGTCTCCCCTTAACACATTTCATCCTAACTCTCCCTTCTTCTGTTCTACACACTTGATTTGCTTCCTCTTCAATAGAACAACGAGAATACAAAATACGATCTCTATTTCTGACACGAGCAAGTCGAGCAGATCACGAGGGTCCTGCTCGAGCCTGATCTGATCGTGTGACCCTTATGATCGAGGGTGATCGAGCATGATCTGGCGAGAAAAACTCGATCATGATCTGATCGGGGCCATCACTTTAGGAATAATTTTCTTTGAAAATTAAAATTAATTAATTTTTATTCCTACCCCCCTGATTCTCCTTATTGTTTTGTTTCGACGTGGAGATATTACAAACACTTTAGCATTCCAGAACTTGTACGGAATCCTGCATGAGAGTGCAGAACAATAGCTGAGTATGTACCTCACTATTTTCCTAGGTTCTTCTGCTTACAAAAAGTACCAGAATCTGAAAAGTCTTGTGGAGGAGTATATCAGTCAATGACTGAATTGCACAGCGATAGAGAGAAACTAAAGGACTATGTGGGGGCTGTGGTAGGACGTGCACAAGAGCGTAAGGTAAGGAAAAAACAACTTCGCTATTTCTTTTCTAAACTAACGGTAAAGACAGGTGTATAAGTAAAACATAAACAATGTATCCTCATCATTCCATGAATCACCACACCCCCGTATCTCTCCAAGCATGCTACCCTTTCCTCCATACACTCCCGTAATAACAAAGGAAAGAAAATGTCCGGAGAATATCCTGTCAATCTCTCAACCTCCACACCAATCCATTGAACTTCTGAACTCTCCGTCAGACTCCCGAAACCTCCATGATCTATCTCAATCGACCAACGTCGATCTAGAGCCTTCAATAAAAAGATTGTCAGAATAATAAACGAGAGGGCGACAATTATTGCAAATCCTTACTGGTCGTCAAGGAAATGGGATAAGTCACAAGAAAGTGAACTCTATCGGATTTTAGTGAGACTCAGGAAGAGTTGGCAAAGAACCTGCGCCATCGACAGGATCAACGAGTGGGTGAAAGAAAGAAGACTCTACTGGTAGAGCAAGATTTTATGAGAAAGGGAAAGGATCAAGAGTGAAGTCCAAGAGGCCGGAGAAAATGCAAGGTGGGTAGTGGAGTTAGGCAAGGGTTGGAAGTTCAAGGTGATAAAAAAGAATGGGAATTATGGAATTGTATATCACTAGAATGGTGAATAGCAGTGGGTATTGAATGTATTACTCCTCTCTCTGTAACCTCAGGTCTTTCCCTTATTTTTCCTTAATTGCTTGGATTTCAGACCGGTGGAAAAACGTAGAAATGATAGATTTCGAGCTCTCTACGTTATCTTGCATAAAAATATTATTTGTTTTGGGCCGGCAAAGCAGGACAACTTCCTGCACCATCAATCATGCTGGTTTCGTGGGCTCAAATTGGGTCTATCTTTTCTGGTGTCAATTCCTTTTCATAAACTAGCTCTTGCTGAATCGTATGAAACGAGGCAAGGATAACACTGCATATAATCACTCTTGGTATATCACATCAACTAAACAACCTAAATGCTGCATATCTCTTCTAATACACCCCACATCCCCTATTGAATGAATCCACATCATATCCCCGCTTTCTTCAAAAACCCTCTCAAAAGGCCGGTATCGACCGGGACTTCCCTCCCCAGCCAGGTGGCCCGTTGGGTGTGGTCTCTGAGTGGATCGTCGGTGTTTGGGTGAAGGAGGACGCTGAGTGGACCACGGTTTACGACAAGCCAGGGTATGAATGCTCCGAATTGGGTGGGAGTTAGAATGTTTACCTCGAACATCGCAAGGGTATGGGGACCGATTGGCTCTGGAGAGGAATTGCATTAGCACAAGGTGCTGGCGAGATTCGGTGGGAGTGTTTACTGTCGAAAATTTTATAAATGCGGAGTTCGGGAACTGTGATATGCCGGCAACGTTGAGTCAGCAAGGTGCAAGAATCGGGATATAGGAGAACACACATTCCCGCCGAACCCGTTCCCATAATTCCTTTGCGAATTGTACCTGCTCGGGATTGTTCTATCCAGGTTCGCGTGAGCCTCCACCACCCCTTTCCACATGCAAATGACGAACCTGATAAAAGTAAACGTGGACATCAAAACCCCCGGGATTCTGTCCATTATCGATTGGCTCCGGAAACTGCTCATATGCAGCGCTAAGGTTTCCCGTCTCAGGATTGTAAAGGGATCTATTGTTCACATTGAGAGTTCTGTGATTTCCATTGTTATTACTTGATCAGGTTGGAGGGGGGGGGCATGGTACGTTGGAAGAGGAGGCTCGTTCTTGTAACCAGCGAGTGGGGAGGGGTAAGTGTAGAAGGATGGGTCGGCCATGGTGGTTTTGTTGTGCTGGGGAGGGGAAATCAACGTTTGCTAGTGATTCCAAGCAGCGGGGGGAGTTGGTTCTTAAGCTGTTGGATCTGCAACCCACTAGGGAGGTTTTTCTATCATAAGACCGCCTTGACTTAAGCTGTCGCTATTACTAATTCAATGGCCCAAGCCTTCCCAACTTTGTGCAGCAAAACCTCGCCAACATTAGACTATCGCTTACTGACCAATCGCTCACAGTTCCCAATATCTTGCTTATAAATTGCCTCCTGGTCACGTCACCTCTCCCGCAGCGCAGCACCGTCAGCTAACGAAATTTGGGAAAATCATTGACAAGAAGCCAAGACAACCCCATGAGGCGAAGACAACTAAGTTCAATTTACCCTTGCCATTACCGGTGTGAAATTTTTTTCGTGCGACACCTCAAGGAATTGTGGGGTAAGGGCGTAGTTGGACTCGTGAAATATCGTGATTGTGACCTCCTATTAAACCGTAGGCTAGTGTCACAAGAAATGGACTCGCTGGTATGTCGTAGTGCTAAGGAAAGAAGAGACAAGAAAAGAACACAAGAGTGGACCCAATTGAGCAAGGGTGGAATCGTTGTCTATTGCGTTGTTCTCTGCAGGTGGCTTCTACTAAACTAAGGCAGGAAGGCTGGGAGTGCTTAAGAGGACAAATTTTCCCGCCAAGCCTCGCCCCCTTCTGTGACAAGAAATTCTATGGAGCGAACACCCCATAGATACAGGACCTAACCCTCCTAATCTCTCACTGCCCCTCACCGGTAGCCCATCACGAATTACCGGTATTAGAGAATACTTGAGTACCGTGAAATCTCGTGAATTCTACTACGTACCTCCGCTCTGACAAAACACTAGCCTGGGAAGGAATAGCAGCTACTTAATGCGGTATCGTGGGATATGCTAAATCTTGCAAGTGATGCGAGGCTGTGCTTATCCTCAGAGACTATACCGCACAAGGCCTAGTCACGGAGATTGTCAGTGCCGGAGATAGTGGAGATAGTGGAGATAAGTGTACTTCACGAGATTACGATAGTATCATATGCCGGTATAGCGAGCTTACCGTGAATTTAGTACCTTGCTTGTACCCTACCGGTATTACCGGTGTGGAGGGGAGATTGAGGTAATAGGGTATTGTCTATGAGCCATGAGGTTTTTACTCCATGGAATTTCCTGTCTTTGTACATGCCTTGGCATGAATACATTCCTGTACCGTAAAAACTCGAATAGAAGAAAAATGTGCTAAAGGGTTGAATTAAGCTCTGCTGCTAAAAAAAAGGGGCAATGCATCAACTGTAAAGCCATGACTCGTTCAAAACATACGCTTTGACCGAGGGGTTCAACTTCATCTCATCTCTGAGAGTAATAATAATGTAAGTAGAATACAAGTATATAAATAATTGTAAACTTAGAATTTAGAGTCATTAGAAATAGAAATAAATAATAATATAAACAAAGAGAATACTACGCTACTCATACACTCTAAGGAGAGAGAAATATAATAAACAATATTTGCAATACTTATACACCAAATGGCACCACAAGGAAACTGAAGTAAAGGCACCACTCGCACTAGGATTCCAGTTAGTCTTCCAGAACTACCTGCAGGCAAGTTCGATGTCGGAGGGCAAAAAAAGCGGAAACCAAAGTGAAACCTACTTAACCTGAAAGTTAGCCTACGAGCAACCCCAAATGCTATTGTGAATCCTCAGAAGTTTCATACAATCAACTATAAGCTTTGGGTATTCTCTTGGCTTCATATAGCTTTAATACCTACAAGACTGAGCAAGTTGAGGGAGCCGACATTGCAAGAGGTGGCGACAAGATTCAGGATTTCACTAGGGAATCTGGGGAGATTGCAGAAGGAGGGGAGGGAGGGGAAATACCTAGAAGCAACAGCCATGTCTCATAGGCTAGTAGGAGGTGGAAGGAGGTGGAAGTTGGTAGATATGGAGCAAAAGCTCAACAGGTGTTTTCGCGAATGGTGAGTAGAAGGAAAAGTTGTTTGCTAAAGTTGGTTTCGGCAAAACACAAAGTGGCTTTATGCTGAAACTTACCCAAGTACAAGTATTAGGCAATTTCGATTTTCAAATAATTAGTTTCAGGATTGCTGATTGTGGTACAAAATCTCTCTTTGTGCAATCACCAACCAAGCCAGTGTAATGACGCCTCTTCAGATATTTAGTTCTTGATAACAGGGAACGATACTTCTCTTCTCCTTCTTCTCTTCCTCCTATGATAGTAGTAGGCCTTGTCCTACATTACTGATAGCACAAGACCTTGTTCTTCTATCCGGAACATATATTATAAGTTTTCTCTAACTCTTCTTCGTTAAGAGTTCTCTTAGGATAATAATAAAAGTCATGATAACGATAAAGAATATAAAGGCATTTTATATTAATTAAATTAATAAGTAGGAAAAGTACTTAGAATTCAATCTAATTTTGTTTAAACTCGTACTGCTAACACTGGCATACAATGAGCCTCCACTAGCACTGGGATACCACTAACTGGTATACCACTAACACCAAGCAAACTAAGTCTACGGCTCCGCACCTACCATCCCTGAGTCATGCCTGTACAGAAACTAATTACAATACTATCAAACAACCCAGTACCCACCCCGGTCCAAGTCCGTAGCCCCTCTGGTCTGAAGTCAACCAGTGCTAAGCATAGCCAAAGCTGAGCAAAAGACCAACCCCACCACGTTCCTCATCCAACAAACATAAAATCACTACTACCCGGTCTGAAAACTGTCCCGCAAAACCTCCACCACAGTAGAAAACCAACAACCACAAACTAAACCTATAGGTGACACAATGGCAAGAAGGAGGCAACCAACATGTCAACCTCTCACACCCCCATACTAGGCCATCGACCCTGTGAACCCACTTCGCCAGTTGCCTCCGCAGAGTGTACTGGTGAGGAGGACCTGTACTGGCTGCCTGTCCCCCAAACAAAACAACACAAACATAGGAAATAGAGAGAGGTAGTAACAGACCAAGAAGGTCAGTGGAGCCTATCTTCCACCCGTGGTACCATGCCTCTTCCTGCCAAACCTGTAACTAAACTAAAGAAACCAAACAATCCCCACAAAGCCCAGCATGCAAGATCCAAATAAGTCTAACCAGGTGGTCGCAATCCACTATCCACACAGGTGGCCATCAACCAGCTAGTCCATCAGGGAGCTTTACAGCACTCAGGAGCTTCGCCCAACAGTGGAAGCTGGACTGGAAACACTTAACCAGACCTCACCCAACCTAATGCAGGCCCAACCAGTGCTCGCAGGTGCCTCTGCCCCCCCAATCAGCCCCCCCCAAGCCCCACACTAGACACCACGGAGCCCATCCTACTGCCCAGCCCCTCAGAGAGATCAACCATCTGACAGCCACAGGACAGCTCATACCTAGCCCCATCAGGCAGCTACTGGTCTTGGCCACAATAACAGAGCTGTAACTCTCAGCATCCTGTAGCAGGGAGGGGCCCACCAGCTACAACCAGGAGCCATAAAGAAGGCAGTACCGATACCCGAAGGCATCAGCACCAGCGATACTGTCTAACTCAGTCATACCGAAGTTAAACGAAGCCAGCAGAGAGTAGGAAGAGCCAGTCAAAGCTAGTCCCACAGGTCCGACAAGAGGCACAAACTGAACGACAGGAAAGAGGCGTATATAACATGTTCGCAAGGTGCTAATCACGTTATCGGTAATAGATACGATAGTTGGCAGGTGGCCTGCTCTTCCAGAGAGGAGGTAAGAGCTGAGAACTAAAGGAGGCTTCGGAGGTGTACTGAGAAACAAAGAAGTAACTGTTCAATCAAGTATATTGAAATATTGTCTATCGAAGTCTGCCTTTTCTATCATAGAAACAGGCGGTCTTTAAATACACAAATCTGTTCATATCTAGCATGAATGAAACTAATCAAAGGTATCAATCGATACACTTTGGTGAAACTAATTAAGTGTCAGAGCAATACTTAAAACAAAACCTAAAACAAAACCAAGTATTAAACGATACTTAAAACAAACTAAGTATCAAAGCAATACTTAAAACAAAACATAAAACAAAACCAAGTATCAAAGCGATACTTAAAACAAAACATAAAACAAAACCAAGTATCAAACGATACTTAAAACAAACCAAGTATCAAAGCAATACGTAAAGCAAAACATAAAACAAAACCAAGTATCAAATGATACTTAAATCAAACCAATAACCGAGTACCCGTACCGGTTACAGCGCACCCAACTGACATGACATGAAGGGGAAGAGCGAGCGAAGAGAAGTAAACAAACAGAAGCTAGGCCCCACTTGCAAGGGGTAAAGCGGCCAACCACAATCGACAGCCGAACTGTAACTGGTATAGGTACTCGGTTATTAGTTTTGGTTTTTAATTTGTTTTAAGTATTAGTAGATACTTAGCTTTATCTTATATTTTGTGTTAAGTATCGCTTTGATACTTGGTTTGTTTTAAGTATTGTTTGATACTTAGTTTTGTTTTATGTTTTGTTTTAAGTATCTCTTTGATACTTGGTTTGTTTTAAGTATCGCTTAATACTTATTTTGTTTTATGTATTGTTTTAAGTATCATTTTGATACTTGATTTGTTTTTACCAAAGAGTATCACTTGATATCTTTGATTAGTTTCGTTCATGCCAGACATGAACAGATTTATGTATTTAAAGCCCGCCTGTTTTTACGATAGAAAAGGCAGACTTCGACAGACAGTATTTCAATGTACTTGGTTGAACCACTAATTCTTTATTTCTCAGTATACCATCGAAATCTTCTTTAGTTCTCAGTTCCCACCTCCTCTCGGGTAGAGCAGGCCACCTGTCAACTATTGTATCATTCGCGATAATGTGATTAGCACCTTGAGAACACATTAAACTAACCATCTGAATGCACAGACAACGTGAGTGCCTGGCAGCTAATCATCTCACATCACCCCAAGTAGTATTGAAAAGCCACACCAGGTATCATGAATGTGGCTCGCTTGGCATGGAAAAGGTTTTCACGTGACTCATGATTATGAGTCATAGGTATGTTCTTGTTTCACGCATATGACTTATT